TACACACTGACAGAGAGACTGATCATTACCAAAACCACCCCCTCATGGAATGTTGGACACTATAATGAATGTTCACATGAGCAAATACGCAGCAGAAAAGCTTTCTGGTTCAGGGGGAAAGTACTATTTAAAACTCTGCTTGCTTATGTACAGATTTCTATTTAAAGCATTGTGCATTATCGCTCTGCTCCACCGACTAAAAAAAGTTTTTACTAGGGATGCTAGGAGAAAGTTAACTCCTTGTAGTGGTAGGAGAAACGTGTCAGCCATCTTCTTAATAAGTAGCAACAGTTTTATTGACCCTGTAAACATGTTATGTGTTTCCAGTTCACCAGCAATTGTGAATACTTTATGGCATGCAGCTGTAGAGAAAGGATGTAACCAATGTAAAGCATAAGATTCTAGCAGTCAGAAAATGAGAGAAATATTCTGTTTGTTTTGTTCTGTGTGTGACCTTTTTGTGGTAATGGGATTAAAGTGTGCTTTGTCATAAAACTTTGCTTTGTGTAAAACTAGATGGTTGTTAAAGCATTTAATATCTTATTTTTGGGAACATTATAGAGCAGGGGTAGGTAAACTGTGGCCCTCCAGCTGTGGGGAAACTACAAGTCCCATTAGACATTGTAAGACTCAATCAGCCCCGGGTACGACTCCTAGAGGCAGATGCATTATGGGTTTTGTACTTAAAAGAGCTGTAAAAGAAGCCCTCACTGACCTATGTGGCTCTGTGTGGGTGCATCGTCAGTAAGTGCACAGTAGATATCGCATACTAGCAATTCTGCCCCAGTACACTTGCCCAGTATGTAATTAGATAACTTTGGCACTGTGTTTGGGGAAACTGCTAACTTGGGTAAGATGCTGCCCCTGCATACTCTTGGTTTATAAACAAAGTCAAGCTCTATTACCTTAGAGTGTTACTAAACCCTAAATTTGTATTACTTATTACAGCAGCTGGCATAAGAACTTGACTTGTCTGCTGCTTCATCCTCTTTAAAATCTTGCATGTCTTCTTAATTGACCTGATCACCGCCGCAAGTGTTCTGTTTTAGGGTGGTTCCATTGCCTTGCAGGGCCCTATGGAGCACACCTTTGCATGTGAGCTGTGGGTCTGACTCCCCATACATTGTGTGTATAAACATACTCAGCTCCAAAGCCTAGGAATGATGCTCCCACTTCCAAGCTGACTGATTGACAGCAGCTCCTATTCCGTATGAGGAGCCCCATGTGATGAAGTCGGTGCGCACTCTACCAGAAAGTTCATGGAAGCAGGGCTGAAAGAGCAGGATACAGGGGCACATGGAACATGTGAGTGATTGGGCACAAATATATCTAAAAAAAATATTTATTAGGGAATGTTAATTGCATTTGTCATAGCACCTTACTGTCTAAATCTGTGAGGGTTTAATGCGACTTTACCATATAAAGTGATACTGTTAGGTCTGGTGACAGGGTCTTTTTAATACATGTAATAATAATACTAAGTAGAATTCCCATTTCAATGTTTTTTATTACATGGCTTTCTCCACATTTACATGCAATCAAGCTGGCCAGCAAAAGTGACATTGACAAACTATAATGCTGCCAGTGATGCTAACACTGGTTAGCATCAAGTTGTTGCTGCTATTGCTGAAGCACCAATGGCAGTGTCAGTTTTTCCAAACTAGTGGCACTGTCATAGTTACTGGGCAAACTGGTCTGTATGTAAATGGGGAGAAAAATAGAAATTAAGGTATGTGAACTTTGTGTACTGAATATTATTACCACATGCGTTAACTGCATAGTTATTAGAATAAAACATTTCTCATGATAGTCTCCATATAGAATCAATGGGGTATAACTTTAATGATTCTCTGGGCAGGTTAGATACAGTGGGACTCGCCCTGCATTCAACGGTCACATTCACCCTATTTACAAAAGAACGAATGTACACCAGGCAAATGCAACTGGCAATGAACAGCCATCGCATCTCACATGTACAGTATTAATCTGCTGGCAATAGCTCTCCATGGTGCTGAAACTTCGTATAAACGCACATCACCTCATTTTTTTTCTTCCTCTTGTAGTCCGCCGGTGCCCCAGGTCTTTCACAAACCTAGCAATGCCCAAGGTGTCCCCGTTAGGAAGATTCACCCTCTCTATGTCTCCTGGTGACCACTACCGTGACTATGGAAGGGAAACCTTTCAGTGGGAACACTAGTTCTGGTGCCCCTGCTGACCACCAGGGATTTCCTTCTCTTTAGAGGGATCTCCGCTCCCTTCCTGTTGTGGCTATGGGACAGGAAGTGAAGAGAAATGGGACACAGATGGCGAAAAATCCTGACATGGGTTGTAAGCCTTTCTTACTCTATCTGAAATGAAAAATGTGTTGGCGATAGTTCTATTTGAACTTTTTTTTTTCAACCGGCTAAAATAAATGAGACAAATATGCCTTACAAAATATATATTCGAAGTTCATTTTGCTGAAGCTGGCACATAGAATTTCTGGAAATGTATCCAATTCATATTCATCTGAATAAACCAGTTTAGAGAAGTGAACAATATGCATTCAGTACAATAGATACTTCAGCAGCCATTTCAGGCATAATGAATTAAAATAGATACAGTAACAACATTTGTTACTCACTTCCATATTTACTGGAAAATTTTGAAAATGAATACATTGTTTTTCTCATAAGCCTTATTACAGTTACAACATATTCATTGAGTATTATTTTTAGTTTTTCCTTTGTGGGAAGAAAATCAATCATTTGTATGTCATGCTTAATATGTGATATTCATAAATACATACAGGGTTATTCATAAAGGGTGAGGAGTCTGGAGAAGGCAGGGGAAGTGAACAATCTAGGCCAAAGTAGCTGATTTGGAAAAATTCTCCAATTCAGCTCACTTTCCAGTTCAGTTATCTTGTCCTAAATTGTTCACTTCTCCAAACTCTTCACCCTTTTGTGAATAACCCTGCTAGTGTAGCAGTCTTTTTGAAAGAAAGCCTGAATTATGTACAGGTGCTGCTATTACTGACTGAAAATGCTTGTTACATGGCTATCATTTTAAGTTACTGGCTTCAGTACTTTTCGGCTTACTGACCTAGAATAAGCCTTCAGATCAAGCATTCCGACCTCACTCTCTGCATGCCTATTGTAGATCAGTGACAGAGGAAGTACTGCAGTACACAGATTGGCAGGACAGGTGGGCAAGGTCAGCAGTGGAAGTATCTATTTTTCTCAGCACATGTTTCCACTTAACAATTTATTGTTGATTTCCGTGGTTGGGATTTATTACATCTCTCCATTAGGGAAATAAATGGCACTACAAATGTGGCAGGTGGTCTAACAGTTCCCCACTCTTTCCAAAGCTAAATAACAGAGTTGGGCATTAATACACTAGTGCAAATGTCTTCTATGCCATGGTTATTAAAAACCAGAATAAATGTGTAGTTTATATCCTTGTAGTAGTCATTGCACTTGATACTAAATAATTAAATAAACTGAACTGCACAATTTTCTCAAATTTACTGCATTCATTTGTACCTTAGCTTTTCCATAGTTGGCCATTAAAATGATCAGAGAATAATGGAGGAAATTATGTTTCTGCCACTATTGCAGTTTTTCGAGCAGACATTTTACACCAGTTCATCCCCATTCCCTATTGTAAGTGTTCGGAATACGACTTTTGCTTCCTATTAAAAGAGAACTTTGGCCAAACCTTTTTTGGCATTAGTTCTCTTTTGGGTCATAGGAGGACATTTAGTGACCGAAAACTCAGCATATATAGGACTATTGCCAGCTATATGTTGACAGCGCAGAGCTGCGCTGCAGTCGGGAAAGATTCCAATAATATTGTCGGGATCCACCCCACCGCCTAATTGACAGCTGGCTCTGCCTCTCTAGAGCCAGAGCCAGCTGTGCCCACCCCCATCCTGTCTGCCCCTCCAATGTATGCTAGAGGAATGAAAAGGGGAGAGGGAATCCTTGCAGGGAGCGGTGAGTGGCAGTCACAGCTCTCTACAGGGAGTAGATGCAGTAGACCCAAATGAATAGGGTGCCCTACCTCAAAGCACAGTAATGCATGTAAAACCGCGCTGCAAAGCACGTGCAACGTCGCATTACACAGGTGAACCCAGGCTCACAGTTAATTGGCAGGTTATTTTGACATGCATTTGGCCTCTCACTAGCTTTTGCATTGCTATTGACTTGTATGGGGAATGCAGCAGTTCTGAAGCAACTAAAAGTCCTTTGATAATGGCTTTAAAATACATAAAATATAGTCAACAATGATACAGTACTTTGTGATGCAAATGAAATCATTTCAAGTTATTTTAATTCATGACACAAAGATAGTAATAGAAAACTATAGGCTGTTTTTGCTTCTTATCACAACTTGCAACTTATCAAATGATTTCCCTGCAAAGTACAGCATCCAAAAATTGAATATACATTCTGGGTGGATCCAGAAGGGTGAAATCACTCAGCAGCTTCTTATGTCTATTAAGGACACAATTGATGAGATTTACTTGAAGCTATTTGTGACTCCATCGCTCCCACAAGCTTACAATAAAAGTGTCCCTCTCTTGCAACTGGGATTTTCACTTATTGGTTTAGTGTACATTATGAAGAATCCATCAGAAGGTGTGACAAAATAATCTGTTGTGACAGTTGGGTGGAGTTGGGAATTCTAATAAGGAAATGTTGCAACCGGAGCATCCCGAAAAAATCTGAGAAGCCAACGTGGTTCATCTTACCAGCAACTGCACAGAATTAAAATGTTATTTTCGATTCTGTATTTAATCTGTAATTGTTTTTTTCCATTAAAGTACTTTTAAGTATACATGATTTATCTGTGGACATTTTGAAGGTAGCAGTATTGATTGAAATACACATAAGGTATTTCATAGGATATTATATTATTACTGGGTAGTTAATTGTCACAAAAAGATCAAATAGATATAAAAACAATATGTCACTCTCACTTTGTAATAATGTGCTGTATTTTTTTTTCCTTAGGAAACCTGCCCAGTGACCGTGTTGTGAGGAAACAACAGCAGCTGAATAATCTTATATTGGTAGTGAAAAACATGGCAAAATCCGGAAATATTATTGTGGACTTTTGTAGTGGCGGGGTAATTTATCTCACTCTATATCTCTTTTCTGTTTTTTTTTCAGGTTTGTTCGTTTTCTCAGGACTTTGGGGTCTATATTTAATGGATTTGCTGTGCAATGTGCGCAGTAAAAGTGTGCCAGACATTCATCTGGCTGTATTTTACAACATTTAGCTATCATTTTCATATAGGATTCACCCTATTGGCCTATCATTTTCAAAGCGATTTCACCCATCAGCATATAACATAATAGAGAAATTCCAATTAAAACATTTGCCTATCACATTTAACTTTCACTGTCACAGACGTAAGGCTTATACAACAATATATCATAAAATCACATACACTTTATTTGCATATTTTAAAAAAAGAACACATTTCCTATAGATTTGTCAGTTTGCACATCATTAAAATCCCATATCATAGATCATGTAGCCCCATCTTCTCATAATCTCATTTATATATTTTTATTATTGTTTAAAGGAGAACTATGAGGCAAGTGAAAATCACTCAACCTCATAGTTCTAGCCGACCTTCGACAATGAAACTGTCACAGGTCGGCTCAATAGATCGGGAAGTGAGCGAACACATAGCGTCTCTCGCTCACTTCTCGATCTATCCCTGCAGAGAGTCGTCACTGTCACTCACGGCTCCCTGCAGGGATTCCCCCTCTCCCCTGTCCGATCCTCCAGTGCTGACTGGCGGAACGGACAGGGGAGGGGGCAGGCACAGCTGGCTCTGCCTCTACATAGGCAAAGCCAGCAGTCAATCCCGCAGCTGGGTGGATCTCGACAGTAATGTCAGGATCCGTCCTGGCTGCACCGTCTCAGTATACCGCGAGCTGTAGCTCGCAGTATACTAAGCTTAGGGTGACGGGAGGATGCTAGTTTGTGTCCTCCCGTTACCTTTAGGAGAACTATGGGGAAAAGCCCTGACCCCATAGTTCTCCTTTACGTTTTTTATAAATGTCCTACTCTATCTTTTTGTACATCAAGGATTAAATTGGAAGATATACTGTGCTTTTCTCGGCACATTTTGCATTAATCCACGTCTTCAGGAGAAGGCTACACTTTTATAAATGTTCACTATCTTGTCTTCCAACATGGCTTCTATGCATCCCAAGAACCCTGGGGTGTGGATGAGGGGGAAGAGAGACAGCAGTAACCCACCCTTTTGTTTTTTGTATTGATGTAACCACTTTTATACATCCCAGGTCCTTCACCAGTTGTTAACTATGAACTGCATCCATATAATAATTTCATCACTTTCTCTATATCCTATATCATCTTCTTATTATCAATCACAGATAGCAATGTAGCAGTCTCAGTGTTTCTGATTATGATTCTATTCGTACTAACTCTATTCACAGTATCCACTGCTGCCTACTCACTCACACAAAGGAGACAATCCCAACATCATAGGAAAGGCTGATAATAGTTTCCTGGACTCCTATCTCCTGTTACGGAATAGCTATGATCAGCAACTGACGAGCCACTGATTGCAGCCATTTATTAAAACTTGGAGCACTGACATCCTGCTCCCCTTTTATAGTAGGGAGCTGACTTCCTGTTCCCCTGCTTTAGTGGGGAACTGACTCCCTGTTCCCCTAAGTGGATTTAAAGATTTAAAAAAAGCATCCTGGAGCAGGCACGTGTCTAAAGTTTTTTTTTTTTTTTTTTACTTAGGTGTTTTGCGAATTCATTGTATAAGGTCATCTTTATCTCAACCAAAGATGCTATATCTTTTTCTGTGGCGCTCCCAATGTAGGAAAAGTTGCAACTGTGTATTAAAAATCACACAACCCTGTGCACTGCAGACGACCCCATCTATTCTGATTTATAAACGGGTGTGGTCAGAAAATGTTGCCCCGTTTTTGTTGCTGAACGTTCAGTATAATTTACCAAAGCCAATGTAATATGACGACCTACCTAAACATTCCATCCGATATGCATCCAATCAAAATGGCCTTTACACTACATAGTTGTTTGAAGATCTAATGCTGGGCACACACCTTACAACCATCGCAAGACTTTTGTCTTGCGATGGTTGTAAGGTAATTTAAAAAACGTACGATCTGCCTATCTTGGACAGGCAGATCGTACTTGCGATGATAACAAGCCCACCCCGCTGAGGGGCGGGCTTCCGATGACCGCAATGCTAAAAGGGCAGTGTGCGATTGCGCACACCGGCCGTGCGGCTTTTATCTTAGAAAATCGTAGATGTTCAGCTGGTTTTCTAACATGTTCCTAAGATAAAAGTCGTGCGACCTTACAGTAGCAGAGGTCGCACGCCTTCCACACACCTTGCGATAAATGTACGATCGCGGGATTTCCCGTGATTATCGTACGATTATCGCAAGGTGCGTGGGCACCTTAAGGGAGATTGTACAATTGAATTGCAAAGTGTGTAGTCAGCATAAAAGTTATGTTTTATTCTGTTGCTGTAGGTACACAGTAAGGATGATTTGTGTCAATGATCATTAGAAAACAAAAAAAAAAATAAGTTCCCCAAAGTACTTCTGTTATACTTTCCAAGACTCTGTAATTAAAGCATATCTCTAAGTAAAAAAAAAAAGAAAGTTGAGAAGTTATTGAACACTCTTAAAATAACTTGTAAAGTGAATTGATCTTGTTTGATGCACTGAACACATTAAATTGAGAGCGTTATTGTATGCTTGTTGTGGATCCCCAACACTTTTTATATTTAAGCATTGCTCTAGATTGGTCAAAAAGCTAGGGACCACTGATAGGGCCCTGTACTTTACAGGAAACAATTAGTATATAAAAACAGCTAATGGGGTTCCTGGTACATTGAAGGCATACTGCCGGTAAGCAGACTAAATGATGAACTACAGGTTAAGAATGTTCATATTTTTGAAATAACTGAAAATACAGTATTTATTTGTATTCTAGTTTCTTATGTATAGGCACTTGTAGAGTAATGCTCAGATAGATTTTTTTTATCTTTCTACTCTGGCTTCACAAAAGCAATGCCTAATAAGATAAATGTTCTTCCCACTTGTTTGTGACTCATTATTGCTTTTTCATTGCACAGGGCCATGTTGGGATTGTTTTGGCTTACATGCTCCCGTTATGCCAGGTAAGCATTTCCTCACTGAAGCTTATTTTTGGACACCATACAAACCGAAGTTCCTGTCACTGGGCCTCTTGTTTAAAGAACGTTATATACTGCCCACAGCTAACGGTCACTTTTTTGCTATATATTTTCAGATTATGTGGGAAAATGAACAGAAGAATCTGTTTGCTGTGGCTAACACAGACAGTGCTTCATGTAAAATACATATTGACCTAGAGCATAGCCCCAGGCCCTTTTGCTGTTCAGTGCCAAGGCCCCATCTACTTTGCCCAAATCCTACTCATTTGTTCCTGCTGGTCACCTGTGGGCACTTTGAATTTAGGATTCTCAGCAGGTTTAGCAATGTCGCTGCTCAGAAATTTTAATAAGGATATGAGTCACTAAATATAGCAACTTTCCTAATGTTGTGAACTGTGATCAAAGACCTCCGTTGAGCTGAGTACTATGAAAGGTGGGTAATTATGGAAGGAAGAAGTAGCAGGGTACACAAGACAGCCTCTCTGATCCTAATGGCCAAACTAATTACCCTTGTTGCCAAGGCATTGATGTTGCATATAGTGTATTTGCATCTGACAGATGCATTTAAAAGCTGCACATAACTGTTTATCTTTTCAGTGCACTCCTATGGAACACCATACATCATAGGAGAGCATGCAGATATGTGACTACTGTAATTGAATAATAATAAAAGTTGAAATTTAATGCCCACCCATGTACTTCGGATTAGATGAAAATAAGAATTGACTGTCCCTCTTGTCTCCCATAAACTGTCCCTCTTTTGAAGTGATATGCAGATGATAAAGTGTTATTCTCTATCAAATGTTTTTATCGCTCCTAATCTCTCATTTTGCCTTTCAATTATTTTGTTTGTTACTTTTAGAAGTCACTAAAAAGTAAAGGAGAGTTAAAAAAGCACCTGTAGGTTCAACCAGTTTTTGTGTATGAATTTGTCATGCTTTGTGTAAAGGAGGTGCTGTAATGTGTCCCTCTTTCTTGTCTAAAATGTTAGGATTTATGTGATGTGCTAAATATAGTGCTTTTTTTAAAGGAGAACTGTGGCCTGACCCTTTTTGGCCATAGTTCTCTTTAGGGTCACAGGAGGACATATACTAATGTCCTCCGGTGATCCAAAACTCAGTATATATCGGGCTATTGCCCGCTATATGCTGAGAGTGCAAAGCTGCTCCGCAGCCAGGACGGATTCCGACAATACTGTTGAGATCCGCCTCGCTGGCTGGTTGACAGCTAGTTCTACCTCTCTAGAGGCAGAGCCAGCTGTGCCCACCCCCTTCCCCATCCGTTCCTCCAGTCAGCGCCAGCAAAACGGAGAGGGGAGGGAGGGAGGGAATACCTGTGGGGAGCAGTGACTGACAGTCACCACTCTTTGCAGGGAGAGGATCGGGAAGACTACAATCGGCGCAATGTGTTCCCTTGACTTCCCAATCAATAGAGCCGACCTTTGACGGCTTCAGTGTCACAGGTCGACTTGAATTATGGGGGTGCGTGTTTTTCACTCACCCCATAATTCTCCTTTTAAATGAATGAATAATAGAGGATAATCTCTTCTCTTAGACATTGATATTACGGGAGGGATGAGGTGAATAAAGGAGTAGATGTACAGTTTTACACTGTGCATAAGCTCTACTAGTTCTAAAAACTATTCTAGCTGCTCCTGAGTGAAAACAGTGTGCATCCTTCATCAGTTCACTGTTTTCTAGTATCCAGGAGAACAGAAGACATCTAGGGGTCTGGATGGTAGTTGAGAACTTTTCCACATTCCATTATTATCCAGGAGGACAAAAGACATCCACGGGCATGAAGAGAGATGATAACTTTTCAACAGTCATTTTTAGCCTGGAGAACAGGAGACATCCAGGTGCCTGGAAGGGAGATGAGAACATTTCATCAGCCATATTCATCCAGGGGAGCAGAAAATATCCAAGGGCCTGAAGGGAGATGAGAATTTATCAACAGGACTTTTTTATATTGGAGAACAGAAGACATCCAGGTACCTTGAAGGTAGATGAGAACTTTTCCACATTACATTTTCATCCAGGAGAACAGAAGACATTCAGGGGCCTGGAAGGGAGATGAGAACTTTTCCACATTCTTCTATTTTTATCCAGGAAAGCAGAATACAACCAGGGGCCTGGACAGGAGATTAGAACTTTTCCACATTCTATTTTCAACCAGGAGAACAGAAGAAATCCACGGGCCTGGAAGGGAGATGAGAACTTATCCACATTCTATTTTCATCCAGGAGAACAGAAGACATGCAGTACTGAAAGGGAGATAAGAACTTTTCCAGTCATTTTATCTTTTTTTAGTATTACAAGCTGCCATATCATATAAATGTATAGCTGACAGATCTGTGGAAATATGCCCCTCACAATATCAGCTGTTCATCTCTCCCATAAAACCAATATAAATCTGTTCAGCACCAGATCGTCAGTCACTACTAGTTCAACTAGTAATAAAAATAACCTCAGGAAACTGTGAAGGTCTGAATCAACTAGCAGTATCAGTTAACAGCGTGCCAAGGTGTGCCATGCAATAGTCCCCATCTGTTTGTAATTGAATAGAGTGTGTCTGTAACTGATAGGGAAACCATAACAATGAGTTATCAGTGGGAGACAACTGTTGCTTTAGTGACACAGTTAAGGGCCCATACACACTGGTGGCAACATGTGCTCAAACACAGCAACACACCTGCGCTGTGTGTGATGCTTTTAAGTTCCATTCATTGTACTTACTGTGCATTATAGTGTGCTGCGTTGCTAAAAAAAAAAGGTTCAAGTACTTTTTTTGCGTTGTGGTGCATTGGCAGCCTATTCATAATGATTAGGCTGCCTCAATGCAATGCACGCCAAGGAGAGCCATGTGTGTTAATGTACCACAATGAATCACCTACATGTAAATGAGCCCTTAATGTTAGGAAGAGATTTTTTTTGGGCGGTTGGGGAACCATTTTCACAGTCTATATCACAACAGAATTGGGATGGAGTGATTTTATTATCATTGTCCTCTCAGCCACTAAAGTAAATGCATGGCTAACCTCTGTTCCAGGTTTATCTTATAATGTAACCCTTGATATGTTCTGCTCAGGCTGGCTGACATATACCTAGTTTATTCAATTGCTTTGCACTGTAAAATTCTTCATGATTTAAATGAAAAAATTGACGCATTAATATTAATCCCTGCCAGAAGGAGGGTATAATCTCCCTTCAACAGCCAAACCAACAATCACTCATTAGGGCCAGTAAGGGTGTATGCGAATTGAGGCGATTATACCATGTTTTCAAACAGATAAAGCTACATCATCATGTATATATTGCTAAGAAAAACAAGCTGTAATGAGATGCAATATTAGTTATACACCACACCAGTTGCCTTTCTTATTATTGTCTACAGCCTTGAAGCCATGAGGCTTTTCTAAAGCTGTTACTCATAGATGAAAAGCACTTATTGTTGGCTTGTGAAAGTTAACATCATAATTTGTGCAATATTTATCTTGCTAAACTCTATGAATTATTAGAAACCTACAAAGACTGCCAGGTTTTACCTGCCTGCCCATCAACATACAGGAGTAATATAAACTGAGCGATAGCTGGTCTTTTGTAGTGAATGCTAGCATAAAACCCTGAATTCTGCAAGACATGGCACCTTTATCTTTTAATTATCAGAGGTTTCAAGAGAGGATTTCTATTCCTACAGGTAAACTGCAAAATCCTTTTAACCTACCAGCCTGTGGAGGAAATAATAATCTTTCTATGTATCCAGGTGCACTTGCTGGGGACTGATGGGGCCCATTCACACCAGCACACAGCGATAACGTGCACATTATGTGCGTTACAGTGCCATTCATTCTGCATGACACCCCAAGCTCCTTCCCAGCATTGCAGTGCTGGGCAACACACATTAATGCACTGCACTACTGAAAATGCTGCATGCACACTTTTCTATCCATTTAAAAGACTTGACTTCCATATTGCAACGCACGTCACCACACTGCAGCAGACCGGCCTGGTGAGAATAAGCCCTAAGGGGTTGTGCATTGTGTACTTTGGTGTTTTATGGTGCATCATTCTGAATGGCACCCCAATGCACCTTCTCAACCCACTTGTGCGTTTCAGTGTGCTGTGCTGCACTGCCCAGAATTTTCAATGAGCGATTTTTGGTCTGTTGCAAATGATTGAGCTGTCGTGTGGGAGGAAACCCACAGACACTGGGAGAACACATACTGCAAGACATTATGCTAACCACTAATCCTTATGTTACTACAGAGGTATATGACATTCTTCCTCAGAATGATCATCTAAAGAGAGCTTCTTTCATTATGTTAATTTATTCATCGTATCTACATTATTTGAACTATTGTGTAATATATGCTGATTAGCTGTGACTAAATATTATGTTTCTTCCCTGGCTGCAGGTTGTTCTGATAGAGAATAAAGAAGAGTCTCTGATTCGGGCTAAAGAGAGGAGCCATGGATTGGGGTTATCAAACATCTGGTTTATTCAAGCCAATCTGGATTATTTTATAGGAGCCTTTCATATTGGGGTACATTATATGAATGTTGCTGTTTCTGCTATGTATTCTTTTTTTATTTTTATTTTTTATTTAAAACGTAGTTTTAAGGGCGTAGTTTTACAACATAGAATGTAGGCTCTTGCTGGCAGCAAGATTCTGCATTTAGGTTGTCTAAACGCTGTATGCAAGTAACATTTCAATGTGTACAGAATTAAAGAAGACTCTAAATCACTCTCTCTGATTTGAGTGTCCCCTCCATAGAAATTATGTCTAAGACCTGACCCTTCCAAGGATAAATGCAATTTAGTTTAGCTAGCAAATAAAATTGAGTTTAACAGCACAGCAAAAAAAAATTCTGTGTTACTGAAGTATCTTTTTTATAAGGTTCCAGTTCACTAAAATATAAGTATTTTAACTATTGTCTGTTATTTGCTACTTTTCTCCTTTCCAAAATGGTGTGTTTAGCACAATAAAGGTTTTACTGCTAAAGTTACTACAAACATGTTATCATCAGCAGTGTATGTAATGTTTCACATGTAAAATTCAATGCAAAAAGTTTAATACATTAGATTATCATGTTACAGTACTAGTACCTTCCAGTTGGCTTTAAATGTAAGACGTACTAAGTAGGGTACAAAATGGAGCTTTTTGAGGTGTGACTATAAGCAACGCTCCATGAGAACTGTACAAATTAAGAAAAGTAATGTAAAAATGTAACACATATTTATTTTGGTAAATTAACTGAACTTTAGCTGAGAAAATGATTGAGGGATAAATTAAAGAAGAACTCCAGGAAATGTTTTTATTAACCCTTGCAGAGGGGCTACCCTCGCCCTGCAAGAGTTGGTACTTGTGTCTAAGTTAAAAAAGAGTTATACTCAACCAATGCTCCGAGCCGATTTATTCCTGGAAATCTTCAATGATTGCAGTTAAGCTCAAACAGCTTAGTGACCTACTATTATCTGATTTATTTATTTTCATTTATATAGAAAAACGTCATGCAGAATTCCTTACCTAGGTAGTGAGGAAAGCTATTTGTAGAATGCACTTGTGTGTAGACAGGTTTGTCATTCTTAAATAATATAGAGGAGCCTCTACTTAACGCCGTACCAAGTGAACAAACATTTATTTTCTGCATGTTGTACAACTGAAATGGTGTGCAACCACATGTCATGGTGGAATGTCTCATTTTTTGAGGCCTAGCTTGAGTAAACATGGTACCAGAAGAGCTGGTCTAATAAAGATGTTGGAAGAATGCTGACTTCTAAAGTGGTTCAAACCAGTGATGAAAGTAAGCTGTCATGACCCGTTCTCCCACAATGCCCTGTGCATAAGTAATGTTCAAGTGCACTTTCATCAGAAAGTCAGATGTGACCTCAGACAAGCCCTCCTCCTCCCCTTTTAAAAAGCAATTGCTTTGCTAGGATTTAGTTGTTACCGATCACAGCTATCCATCATGGTATCCAGTGATCTGGATAAACCCCAATCCACTCAGATACAATGAAGAAGCTACATTCCATAAAAAAAAGAAACTTAAATTGATCAATAGCCTACAATATTAGTATCCCTTTCTGTTAGAATAATGCTGTTTCTATACTATTTTGTGTTTATCTACTAGCGTACAAAACACAACAATAAATTAGGCATAGAATAGAAGTCTAAGCCAAGTGATATGTCAGACTGTACAAATGAATCCCACTGTCCCTCCTTCCATTTAACCCATCTAACATTTCCTGGGCATTGTACATATCGGTGGAACTGGAAGTTTTGTGCGTGGTCAAAGCCATGCTCTGACACAGGGCTAATTGGGTTCACAATGTATGAATTATGTATTCCTGGTCCATGCATGTAGCTTACATCATTTATATAAATGCAGTTGGATGAGCAGACTTTTGATGTCAACCAAGTCACTTATAAATCTTAAAGGGCAACTGCACTCTGACATGCTCCACATTTTCTTTTATAGGCAAAGTGACATAAATTTAGGAACACAAGAATCTCAGGGCTTTTTCAAAGAGACAAATTGATTGATACAGGTTTGCAAGTGTGTAAAAGCCACATATGTAAATAATATCACAACATGCAGCAAAAACAGCAATCCTAGGCAGACCTTTACAAGGTGCATGGCCACTGTTTTGTGGTGTACTTCCACTTTTGCAGTTCATTTTGAGAAAACGCCTCTATATGTTTATGTCTTCCCATTCACACAGCACACCTAAAATTAATAAAAGTAACTGTTTCTTTGGAGATGTTTTTTTTTTTTTTTTTTACATAAGACACTGTGGGCATGCTTCTATTGCTTACAATTGGTGGCTATGTAAAGATAGGGGCCAAAATAAGGACTTATTTATAAAGTGCAATAAAAATCAATTACAAATCCAGCCTCTGAGTCACTTTTGCATCCACAGATGCTGGGAACTGATAGATCACAAGCAAGGCAAGATCAGTCAGAGGACGGAGCCGTTGTCACAGCAGCATGTGCGGTGAGGAGAGAGAGTGCCGCCGGCTGTCAGATCCAGGCCGAGCGGCTCTCTCTCTCTCTCCTCACCGCTCGGCGTGCTGCTGATGATAGCGGCTCCGACCCCCGCCGCTGCCTGCAGCGCCTCGTTCACTTCTCGGATCCCCGCTGCATACAGATGGGGGAGAGCAGCGGGGATCCAGAGAAATCCCACGTCAGGAGGACAGGACATCACGATCTACCAGGGATTGCTTTGTGATCAATGGCAGATCGCGATCGACCTATTGGGCACCCCTGATTTATTATATTGCTGGTTCGGCAATTTTTAAATAGAATCTGGGCACCTGCCAGGTTTAAAGATGGCCGCCACGATTCGCAGCGGCCATCTTTAAAAACTTAGCATGAGTTTACAGTGACCTGCACCTGGAGTGTGCGGGTCACTGTAAGCGGGACCTAGGCTCACGTGCCACCAGAAAGGCCTCTGTGTGCCCTCTGTGGCACGCGTGCCATAGGTTCGCCACCGCTGGCCTAAGGGAAGGCAAATCATAAGCAACTAGCATTTTCATAAAAAGGCCAGCTATGTGATTCTTACTTTAACTTAACATTCATATTAGGGATATCGAGTACGATTATCAGGAAGTCGAACGGCGGATCATGACCCATCGCCCAGGTTCCTGATTGCCTGTGAAGGTGTTGTTCTAGTGAAAGAACACAGGCTTCACTTGCCGAGGCTGCCTGGCTTCCTGACCAGTCAAGAAGCCAGGCGGCGAGTCATTAGTTGCCGTCCGGCTTCCTGATTGGCCAGGATGCCGGGCTGCCTAGCAACAAGTGAAGCTGGATTCCTAGCCAATCAGGAAGCCGGGTGGTGGGTCATAACCCACCTCCCAGCTTCCTGATTGGAAAGAAAGCTGGCTCCATGCTCCCTTTGGCACTGCCGGTCAGAGGGAGATCTCCCTCTGACCGGAAGTTCCGGTATCGGAGTTAAGTATCAGAGCATTTGAACAAGTACTTGCCCAAATACTCTGTATCGGTACCGATACTAGTATGGGTGTCAGTGCATCCCTAATTCATATATAGATCAACTTTATTCAACTTGGCTAATGAGATTTGCTTAATGTGACATATGAACTCTGTGTCAAAAAAAATCTATTTCAGTAAACCTGGGACATTTTTTACAGTTTAGGTATTCTTTGGCTGCCATATTCATTTGTAACTGACAACTCACACTAATAAGTTCTTGAATTACTGACTTGTATTATTATTAACAATCATCTTTTCTCCTTTTATTCCGTTGTTATCCCAGGTACTTTCCAAAAGTGATATTTCTCTACACCAACTGATTCACCTCTGCAACCTATAATTCCATTTTTCCATTATACTAATAGCTGATCATGAAGATGTTATTAGAAACACCCACACACAATGCGCCACTGATGATTTCATCATTGTATACATTCATGAACCCAACAATATACAATAAGATTACATTCCCATTTGTAATTTTCTGTTTGCTTTAATGTGCAAAATGTAAAAAAAGGCCCTCAAATATAACTATGTTACCAAACAGATGATTTTCATCTCTAGAGCTCCCTAGGCACATGGACACAAACAAACACATAGTGAGCATTTTTGTATACATATCCCCCCCCCACACGCACATACTCAGAATGATCTGTATCTTTAGTTGGTGGTCTGCTTTGTGTCTTTCATCTCCAGTTCTTCTCCTGTCCTCCTCATCTACTTAAATGCAAATTCCATCTTTCAGACTATGATTCATGTTACACCTATATTTAGGGTGTAATATGAAACATGGACACATTCCCTAACCTTCCATCTTCAAACTGTCGCCCCCCTCCCCCAACTTTCTTGAAACGCAGGGATCTTCTCCCTGCTGAATTCTATATTATAAATTTGAACAGAGCCACACGTTGCCCACCCCTGCTCTAAATACGGGATGCGGCAAACTGTGGCAGAGGGACTTGTAGATCTCAGTGGAACACAAGTGCGGTGATGTCTCTGCACTCGTAGTCCATCAATTTCTACCTCCAGTCCCATAACAAAAGGGCTATAACGCCGTACAGACCTGGTACTTAAAGGAGAGTCTGCAGGAGCTTGTGCATTGCACCCACAATGGAACTAGTCATGGTTGAAATGTTCTGGAGGCTCCAGTGCAAACATTTACTACATGCAAATTTTTTCTTTAATGGTGCATTTATTACATTTTTGCAAAAGGTGGACTTTGCCTTTAAAGCTTCAGAAACAGAATGATCAGATGGTCATATGTCTATACATAGTAGAAGAGCAGGTTACCTTTCCCCATAACTGTACATTGATCAGTGACTCTCATCCCCCTGATAGGAGGTCACATATAGTTCAGTCTTTATCTTAAATAGGATGCTTTGCATTCTTTGAAGCTACATCCTGTGTATATTTCACTTAAAAAATTACATATTAAACTGTTGTTCAAGTGTTGACATGTTTGTGGGCACAGATCAATTTATGTCACTTTGTCATGAGTTGTTTTTCAGAAGTTGTACTACTACGTACATTGGTTTGTAAACCACATTTGTATGGCAGGTACTTACAGAAAAACTCCCATGAAAACAAATCCAGTGAACACCATCTTCATGTAAATTATTTATTTATTGGGGGCAGCCATTTCAGAAATTCCGGTGACATTTGTATGCAGTATATTTGATTGTTCATGAAGTGTGTGAATATTTACTTATTTTTCTTTGGACTATCATCTGCCTGACCCATTTATAGACTTTGAACCTCTAAAATCCTTCCCTTTTATTTCATAATGTTGTGTGATGAAAGTAAGGTCCCCTCACACTGGACTGCATTGTCCTGCATGTCCAGTATGTTTGCAATTTTATTTTTTTACTATCAGCATTACTGACTTGGCCTATAAACACAAGATGCCTTGCCTTGCATTGCTGTGGGTCAGAGTTTTGCAGCTGCATTCATTTTTTTGGCTCATTGACCTGCATTTTCCTTTTAAGTATACCCGTGGATTTACTGCTGAAGCATGTGTAAATCTTTTTCTTTCTTGTCTTTCATGGGGGATACAGGAAGCCTTAGCCCATTTGGGTTATAATGCCACCTACAGGAAGAGTGGGCACTGGCAGGCAAAAAATATTAGGCCAGCCCAGTAGACCACTCTCCCACTACCAACATGCCTCAGTTTTTTACTACTGTCCTAGGAAGATGGACATCTTTTCCACAGCTCTGCTGTGTTGAGACTAACTTAGTTTTTTGCTAGCATATTTTTTTTCTCTGATCAAGACTCTTTTCTACATCACTGCTATTGCAAATTTCCAGTGCAGTAGTCCACAGCCTGGCTTTTGAAGTTCCAAGTTTGGACCCAGCTGGACTGGATGTGTGGAGAAGGCCTGGAAGTGACCTTTGGCCACTGGACTCTAGGGTGCTTTACAGAAACCAGTCTGGTAAAGTTTGCTGCAGAGTGTTTTCTTGGTCCTGAGCCCTTGACATTGCCTCAGCACTTGCCCTGGCTCAGAAGCCTCAATTAGTGAGCATTCTGGTCAGGCTGAGTACCGGAAGATACCTCTATTATTTCGTTTGCTGGGTGCCTTTGTTTAGTCCAAGAGTTCTTGAGTTTTGGTGCAGAAGGGATTAATGCTGTGAGAGCTGACGTCATACACAGGTGAGGTGTTGTGGTGATTCTGCACTCTCTTTTCTGCCATGCAGTGTTGAGGAAGCATCTCCCCACTGCTGCTCCTGTTTGAAAAGTGCCACGGGGAACTTCAGTCTTTGATCTGTTCCTGCTGCCCACCTACAGTGACTTTGGTCACCTCCAGCTGTCTGACCCTCATCTGCTACTAGCTGTCTGGGTTTCATGGGTCCCCAAGGCCTTGCTTCTTACCCTAAGCCTATACATTGCCTTACCAACAAGCGGTCACAACATGTCTGATTCTAGATATGGTGGAGCAGTCCCAAGTCCCTAGCTCACATTCCGCTAATGGTTCTAGGGCTGAATGAGGCACGACTTCTGAAGATGTCAACGTCTGCAGCCAGGAATCATGTTGTCCTCTGAAATTAGAGTCTGTTCCATCCTCAGAGTCTTTCTTGCTTTGTTAGGTCTGACTGTATTTGTTGAGGTTTTTACCACTGTCATGCAGCATTTTATGAAACCCCAACCACTCTTTTATTTGCTGACTCTGATCTCAGAGGCTACAAGTGCGTTCCCGCATCCTTTCCTGCAGATTCTTTAGCTGGTTTGCCCACGTCTTCTGAACCAATGGGTACAGGAGCTCTGTCTGATCCTGTGTCTCTCCACTATTTGACTGACTTGCTTGTCCCTGAAGAGTCACAGTCGACTGCTTTCACTGCTAGATTAAAGGAAACCATTTTTTCTCTTATTGTAGCAGTGCCCACCTCTCGGTAACTAGAAGGCCAGCCTGTTGCTTATACCAAGAATGTTTTAAGTCTTGAGTTATTTAAAACGTTCAAGGTTGCAAACACTTTCCCTTACTTTGTCAACCCATGTCTGACTGGTCAAAATCCCGAAAAGAGATCTAATCAATAACAAGGTTAACTCCTTACTTATACAAGCAAATGGATGTAGCTTTAAACTGCAGCTGTAACAGTTTACTAGAAACCTCCCTTCTTATTTCTTGCATGTGTCTCATGCCAGTTCAGTTGCGTAGGCGCTTTGGCTAAACTACTGGACTGAGAACGCTTGTGTATAAAAAGTTTATTCCGCATAGCCTTTCGATGGACAATCTCTCCAGACCAGTTCTTCACAACATTATCAAGGATGCTAGTGGTGTAGTCATGACCCCCTAAGCTTGGCTCCCCATCAACTAGCTATCTGCCAAATCTCCAGACAAGCCTTCCTCTTCATGTAGTTGTGCCCCCACTTTCCAGAATGGGAGCATGTTTGTTAGCCTTTGCAAATGGTTGGACAGCTTGTGTCTCAAGCTAGCTGTCACTGCTAGCTCCAGTTGTTTGTTTTTGTTAAAACATTTTTTTTCTTTAAAAAAATCTTTTTTTTTTTTTTTAGATTTTACATTTTTAAAATCTTTTTTTTCAACTCGGCCGCATTCGTCTATTCACTCACTGCCGTTCAGCCCCTATGTGAATAGGGGCGAACGGCAGCGAGTGAGCTGCTGGAGCTTCGGCTAAGCCGATCTAGATTTTGGATAGGCTGATTTGAAGTCCTTTTGCACTTATGCTCTCCATGTTGGGCTCACCAAAGTGCAGCCTAAGGCTGCCAATGTACGACTGATTTCAGCCGATGTACGGCTGAAATCAGCCATACTGATCTGCCTCCGGCAACTTAGTGAATAACCCTGTAAGGCTTCTGGTATCCCTCAATAGACTCCAAGAATTTTACGGTGAGTACAAAAATTCTACTTCTGCCATTAGGGTAAAAATAATTTCCACACGGGATACATTTATCTTGATAACAGGCAAGAACTGGAATGAAATGTTTTTGGGTTAAAGTGTATCTAAACTCAAAAATAAAAATGTAATATATTGCAACTTATCAGTCCTAAGATGTGGTGGCTGTATTAGTTTTATTTTTTTTGTTTCTTCCTTTATTTCTGGTGATCTAGCCAGTAACACACACACCCATTGTCCTAGGGTGACAACCAGGGCCGGATTCCCCACAAGGCCACCGAGGCCCGGCCTCGGGGCGGCAGGGCGCAGAGGGGCGGCATCGGTGTCCTTGTGGGGAAGTTCCGGGCGCCGGGTGGTAAGTTGCGCTTTCTACATTTAGTCCTGCTTTGCACAAGCAGGACTAAATGTAGAGCAGGGAAGCCGATTGTACGTTTACAAGTGATCTCGTCGATGTCGCCAAGATCACTTGTAAAAAGTCTGCAGCCGGTCCATCCGCCCGTCCTCCCTCCCTCCCCCGCTACCTCTCTACCTCTCTCCTCGCTGGCTCTGTCCTCCGGGCTCCGCCGCTGAGTCTCTCTCCTCTTACTGGCCGCCGATGCAGGGAGCAGAGCGGCAGGGTTAAATGTAACCCTGCCGCTCCGTGTACACAGTGAGAGGGGAGAGCAGTCTTCCCCTCTCACCTGCCACAGGTGTTCCAGCACAGTGCTGTGCTAGAACTCATGTATTGGAGGTGACAAGGTCAATAAGGAGAACATGTCACCTCCAATTGCTATCACACAGGGGCTTGTTAGGTGTTAGGTCCTGTGTGATAGCAATAAAGTTAGGTGGAAAAAAAAATGATAAAAAATAATTAAATAAATAAAAACTAAAAAAATAATAAGAAATAATTAAACAAAAAAATTAAAAGGTGATTCAAAAGTAAAAAATAATAAGAAACAAATTATTAAAAAATAAGAAAATTATTATGAAAAAAACAATAATAAGATAAAAAATTATAAAAATTAAAAAAGTAGAAGATAAGATAGATAAAAACTTAAAGTGATTAAAAAAAACATTAAAACTAAGCCTGCCATCTGGTTGCCATTCTCCATTGATGGGGGGCGCATTGCAGAACCTGGCTTTGGGGCAGCATTGAGAGTAAATCCGGCCCTGGTGACAACAGTCACTCATATTACTGTATTAATGGAGGATCAGCATTTTAACCTATGTCTGCACCCCTCATATGGACTACAAACACCCCTCTTTTCCTCATCTCCATTACATAGGTAGGAGATATTTTGTAGTTCAAACAAGATAGCCTAGAAGGCTGATAGCATTGTTTGAGATTTCAGTTCACTCCCCAAGAAGTTAAAAACACTGGATTTCTGACATTTTTTTTTTCAGTCCTTGTAAAAATGTACTTGGCCTGGAAAAAAAAACTAACTCAGCCACCACATCTAAGAACTGGTAAGCTGCAGCACATAACAATTGAGCTCTTGGATTTAGGTCCTTTAATGTTCAGTGTAAAATGCATTAACTGTGTCCATATTCTCTGTAGGTAGCATTGCACGCATGTGGAGTAGCGACAGATATGGTGATTAAACACTGCATTGGGGCTAGAGCAGCCTTTGTCATCTGTCCTTGCTGCTATGGATTTATCCAAAACACAATGAAGACCACATTTCCACGAAGGTAATGATATTTGTCTTGTTTATTTTATTTCACCTATACCTGCCCAGTGCATTTCCTCCTCGCAGGGCAAAAGCACACTAATGTGCTAAAATTGCTTCAGTGTAGCTCCAATATGTTTTCCATTTTTTTTTTCCTAATTCAGAACCAGATACAAAACATTGCCTCTTATGTATTCAACCTGAGTCTGTACTGCCAAAAAGTAACCAGTCCAATTCACACTTTAATTCTCCATTGGTTGATTACCTGTGCACGTTTAAATCTGACTAGGAAAAAAGTACCAGTAGAAATAACAGTCACCCAGTTTCCTTACAACAATCTTCCTTTTGCTCCTACTCCACACCATTTGCCAGACAAAGTAAAGGGAAAAAGCCAAATGTCAACTCAAAGTCAGTCTCTTCAGAGCTTACACATGGGTGAGGTTTCTCTACCTGCTTCATGTGACGAGTCACATGCTCCCCTTTACCAGATGTACTATGTATGTCAGCTTGTACTGGCAGTTAAATGGAGTGTCAGTGGAACAAAGGGAAGATAAGTACTAGAAGGAGGTGAGCAGGCAATAAGGTGAACCAGTTGCTTTGCCCTCCATGGGCAAAATGCATGTTCACACATTAATATGGACAGCTCTTTGAGGTTGTTTCCCCTAGAAGATGCATGGTGTACATCCTTCTTTGGAACACCACTAGTCCGTGTCTACAGGTGAAACTCGAATAATTAGAATATCGTGCAAAAGTAATTGCAGTAAGTGCTGCAAAAGGGGCCCAAACCAAGTACTGAGTACATATGCATGCTTGTACTTTTCAGAGGTCCGATATTGTTCTATGTACAATCCTTGTTTTATTGATTGCATGTAATAATCTACTTTTTTGAGGTTGTGGATTTGGGGTTCTTGGGGTTTTCATGAGCTGTAAGCCATAATCATCCCAATTATGACAAATCACGGCTTGAACTATCTTGCTTTGCATGTAATGAGTCTATCTCATATATTAGTTTCACCTTTTAAGTTGCATTAGTGAAATAAATGAACTTTGCACGATATTCTAATTATTCGAGTTTCACCTGTATATGCACATCCCTTTTGTCATGATATGGCTGTCAGTGACAGCTGCCAAGTCAATGAAAAATCAGAAAGTTATAGAAAAGTATTATTTTTTATTGAAATGTAATTGATGTTTGGTCATTTTCTTTTCAGTTGCCGCTTTCAGGAAGTTTTATCATACAAGGTAATTTTTCAAACGGACATTTACTTTATGCAAGTGTTTTCTCCAATTAAATGCTATAGAATGTGATACCACATTTCTAGTGGAGTGTTTTACAAATGTGGGCAACACATTATACAGATTCACAATAATTTACACAGTTACAATGATTTACTCCTCTCATGCAAATGGTATCATTACATGTTCACCAATCATCATGAAATATTTTAACGACAGAACCTCACATCAAGTGTTAGTTTGCACTGGCAGGACAGAAGATACATGAGAAGTTGCTCATGATGCCTAAAACGTTGTTTAACCCCTTCATGACTGAGCTTTTTTTCTGTTTCTTTTCGCTAATGACTGACGCACTTTTTAAATTTTTGCTGTGTGATTCTTTTACGGCAGTAATATACTTTCTTACAAAGTGCACCCACACATATTATATATTGTTTTTCAGAGGACAGAAAGGGTTTATATTTATATCACATATGTGTGCCTAATGCCTCACTTAGGACAAATAAAATATAAAAAAATGAAGAGAAAAACGTAACGAAAACACTTTTTCCCCAGTCTCCACCTCCTAGCTCTATTTAAGCAAATGCAATCAACACCTGGTTGCGACTATCAGATTATGTGGATTGGAGCAATATTCACCATATTTATTCCCGGACAATTTTTGTACAAGTCATTCTGAATTGAGAAAGCTGGTTGGATGACCAGAAACATACAGCAAGGCCAGTTGCCTTGATTTATTTTTTACAGATATACAATCACCTGGATGAATGAGAACCTTCACAGACACTTTTTCCCCAGTTTTGATTATTATTATTTTTAGAAAAATTAAAACATTTAAAAAAACACATTCAAATAAATTCATTTATTTGTCTTTTATTTGGAAACACATCCCTAGGATTTCAGAACATTTTCTGTACCTCTCAGCCTAAAACTAAAAGCTGACATTTTATTTTTTTCTCTAAAAGTGACCATGTATGCCAGGTGACCAGTATTAGCTAAGAGTCACTTAGTGACAGTGACATACTTTGAACATCGCTGTCGTGAGGAAAAATTAGCCCCTTAGGGTGAAAAACTAGTCTGCAGCTCAGATGCAGATTTTCATTGTGAGGAGTTAATTCTATCAAAATGATAGTACAAAAATATATGTATATATTATTTTTCATTCTTTACATTTATTTTTATCTTTTTACACTTATTTTGTTTCTTTACACTTATTTTTAAAATTTTGACACTTTTATTTATTTTTTATTATATCAAGCAGTCATTGTGAATGGATCTCACTGTGACTGCTTGGTCATTTAATTAATTAATTTGTTTTTTGGTTGTTTTTTATTAGGCTGCTCCATGGTTTCATGACTGGGTCGCTTTAAGGAGTCGACAAAAAGGGGGAAGCAGTGTGGTGTGGTAGACGGTAGTGTTTGGGGTCTTGTTAGCGTCTAGTTTAGTTTTTCCTAAACTGGACTAGTTTTTCCCAAGCAGGACTCAGCTGTGAGGCTGGGTGTCCAAGGTAGTAAGTAATTAAAGGCTACTGTTTTCAGGATGCCGGGGGCGTCCCCTCCCCACGGGGTCAGATGGTACGGCATATGGTGCAGGCCTCCCTTCGGCCTGGCAGAACCACGTGTGCTCCAACGGCCACTGCAAATGCGCCTGTTTAGGCCTCAGGTGTGGGCCTTGCCGGGGGAGGTTCCCCAGCCCACACATACCGTCTCTCGCCTGCCATTGGCTCTCGGGGAGGGAAGCCTCCTGGTTGCCTCAGTGACCAGGGGGCGGACTCACACCTGTCTATAAAAACCTGGCCAGAGCCCTGGCTTATTACTGAGTTATTCCACCTCATGGTGGGACATACGAAGCTCCACTCCTATGTGCCTTGCTGCCAGTTTCCTGAACCCTCTGCTGACTTTCCGTGTACCGACCTTGGACCGACTTTCGCATCTGACCCTTTGCTGCCTGCCTCGACCTCGGATTGCACTCGACTACCTCTTTGGATTGCCCCTTGTTACCTTGTCTTCGGACTTTTCAGGCTGCTTCCTGCCAGCGGGTTCCCTCCGTGCTGCTTGCCCGCGGACGCACCTGACAGCTGTAAGGTTTCGGTAAAATAAAAAATAATGTTTAAGAAAATTTGGGTATATTGTGGGTTTATTTCTCTTTCTTTGGCTTTCTCTCCCTGTATTTAACTGACCATTCATGTTATTATCTTCATTACCATCATTACCAACATACAGTATATGCCAACATATACAGTATGTAGTGAATGGGCCTGCCTGATTGGAAAAACAATGACGGGATTGCCTAAGTAGGCATGTACATTACATAATCTTGGTAAATCCAGAGCAGATTGTGCAGTCCGATCATAATGCCCAGCTTTAGGCCCATAGCATCCTAGAGAGCTGTAGATGAATGGGGCTTGAATATACAAGGTAGTGGAGTTCCGAGCAGCTGAATGGAGGCATTGAAGTGGATGACAATTTCACCTTAGTTTCACCTTAACCTCCCTTCATTGAAAACTATATGGAGAACCTTTCCTTTAAGAAATGTTGCTGTCACACAGAGTCAGCACTTACAAAAATAAATCCTTTTTAGCGATTATGCTGTTGAAATCAAAATCTCCCTCCTCCACCTACTTTTTTTTTAAAATGTACATTTACATTTCATGTTATTCAGCAGAGATTTGTAGAGTCAGTGTACTGGTAATCTTCCTGCCACAACCCTGCATGGTAACTGATATGACAGGTCTGATGACCTAATCCAACTTTCCAACTTCCCTTTCTGTAAATATCTGAAATCTAGCCGTGTATTATGATTTAAAATGCAGTATATTACAGTGGTTTAAATGTAGCTAAAATAGTACAACTTGAAGAAAATAAGAACAAATTTGAGCTGATACGAGGAGGGCTTACCACAAATATATCCTAACACAATGAGATAATGGCCATAAGGTCCTATTAACAATTGTTTGTGAAATGAATACCAGTCAATATTGTAAAATAACTAAATGCGCCAACAGGGACTGTGAGGCCCCTTGGAATGACCGCTGCATGATTCCAGACCTTTAAATGCATGTGTGTTGCAGTCCAGTGTGCTGCAAAAAAAATCCCTAATAGACTAAGATGACCAAAAGCGCTTCATATACACTGAGTGGCCAGTTTATTATAACCACCTGACGTTTGTAGGCAAATTAGCTATAATTATCTATAATTAGCTATAATTTCGCGCTGAAGTTGCTTGGAGGCCAGACCATTATAAATAGGGAAGCAGGTTGTTTACCACGACAGTAAAAGTGATTTTTTCTGAAGATATGGGTAAACAATGTGAGTTAACAGCCTTTAAACGTGGGATGATTGTTGGCGCGAGCCATGGAGCGAGTATCAGCAAAACAGCAGAATTCGTTAAATGTTCAAGAGGGGCTCATTGTTAAAGTGTTTAAAGACTGGACTGTCAGCCGAAAATCTGGGTCTGAACGTGCGAATTGTGGCCGTCAGCAACTAGTCAATGTTAGGGCAGAACGGAGAGTGGCAAGACTGGTACAACAGAAGGGCAACAGTGCAGTGTCAGATTCCTCGCCTCACCTTTCAACATCTCGTGGAGTCACGAGGCGGCCCAATGAAGTAATCTCGTGGAGTTATCTCGTGGCCCAACGAAGTACTGATGGGGTGGTCATAACAATCTGGCCACTCAGTGTATAACATCCACACAAAGAATCCCAGATCCTGTATATTAGGCTCCAATCCAGTAGAGTTGAACCAGCACTAAATTGACAAGATACACTGGTAGATTGCAACTGCTATTTGTGGTTTTAGTAGATGTAGGAGGAGCACAGAGTGATAACAACAGTCGGAGAGATCTGACTGTTGTTATCTGAGATCTAATGAGAAAAAAGTATGATCTAAACATGTTAATATTATTGCTAAGTTTCATTCTATAACCTAAACATTTATACATCATCCACAATACTGCGTCTGGTCTGCTGCGTAAAAAAGTAGTCATACCTTGCATGGGCTCCATTATAAATTCCATATATGCAGTATTTTAGAGCCAGTCAAATGATAGAAAGCAATCTGACAACCAAAATATAATTTTCTCACCAAATACTCATAGCTTAGTAACCTAAATATACAATATATGTAAAAGGTAAGCACCATCAGTATCGTTTTTATCTCTGCACCAAGCTGAGTTGCAGTAGGTAAATCTCAGAAACTGGCCTACTGGACCAGTTGCTTTCATTTCTAAATTATAGGCTCAATTTGCAAAGCTTACATACCATGGTATACTTAGAAGTGACAGGTATTTGGCTATACTTATAATTGACAGTTATTTTCAGCTAAGCTCAATGAGATTTGATCATTACAGTCACACAATATTATAAATGTTATATATAATTGTATAAATTAGAGAGCCTTATCCTTGTGTCATAGCTTGGTGAATTGAGTCTAATGTCTTCTATAATCTGCTGTACTTCATAAGGCCTTCATTGGTTCTCCAGGTTAAACAAATAATGGGTGACTTATGTGGAACAGCAGATTGAAGAAGATGTAGTTCTGAAAAATATCTTCTGTACTAGTGGATAGTCCTTGTTCTAAAAACTAGAAAAGGAGTAGAAAATAGGTATCAATTAACCCTACAAAATCATACTGGTCTGTACATTTCAAGAATGGTATTGTGAACTGCTACAGGGCAGTCTATGTTACATTTGACTATTGAATATTTTAGTCAAAATATCACTTTCCTGTTGGTTATTTCATTATTTGTGCAAAGAGACATATTTCTAGATATACATTTATAGTATATTGTATATGTTATTGTATTCTAGCCTCAATTACATAATTACAGCTTCATGAATGCAATGCCTCCCTGAATATATAATTAAAAGAACAATATAGTCTCAAAACAGCTTTGTTTTTAATCCTTTTAAGCAGAGTGGGAGGTTTCATTTTCCTGTAGGGTCAGTGACCTTCTGGCTAATTAATTCTGAAGTAAGGAACTCTTTAGTCAGCTTAAGCTTTTCTGTTGTTGTCTCAGTAAGTCAGTGGGTCATATTCTCACAGTTATTGCACCCGTTTGATGTTTTTATGCATCTGGGGTTTAACCCTCTGTGTGCAGTCTAATGCTTGACGTGACAGCCTTTTGCAAAATGTTGGGCCCCTTAGGCAATATATTAATCACATAATATAGGTACTGATATTTGTTACGAGTTTGTTGTTTCTACTGGACATTGTAAGCAGGTCCATATGCTTGAAGAACAGGCATGGGCAAGTCTGTCTGAGTCTGGTCATTGGGCTTTGATATTGTGTGAAAAGAGTAAAACTGGTTTTAGTGGCATCACATGTGCACAGATTTCTCACACATCTACATCAACACAACTTTTTAATTTCCAAGTGGCTGCCTGTCAGTTTTCTTGGTATGTTCTAAATTATGAATGAATGAATCTTTACATAAGCTTTCCAGAATGCAAATGAAGATGCCTATGTTTGTGTTAATGGAATAAGATGCCTGTGGGTACCCTTAAGTTTTATACATGTGAACTATATTCTCTCATTAGTCTCATTTGCAATTAGCAGTTCTGCTAGGTCCTAGCTTAGGGTACCAATACTCCTACAGGTTAGACAACCAGAGACTTCAGTTTATCTAGCCATGCTTGATGATGACCAAGCCTCTCAGATATGGATGGCCCAGGTTTTCTTATAAAGGTAAAACTAAGATTTGCATATAACATCAGGTGGTTAAACTGTATGTCTGTCCTTGCTGGTTGTTTTCACTTCTTATTGTCACCACAGATAACTTCTGCCTATGCAACTTTTATCATTCTGAACTGTAGAGGCATGTGACAGATCAACTTTAATGAGATGCAGAGTGAAACTATATTCATTAGATGATAGATAGCAGAAATCTAATTAGCTTCTATGAGGCACTTTGTACCCAGTGATTTGACATTGCCTTATTCTATTGAGAAAGAGAAAAAAACCAACTGTGCACTAACCACCACCATCCTTTTAAAACTCTACTACCAGTTCTTCCTTTTTCACTGTCTCAAGGTGTTCCTTGACTAAAAATAGTATTGTTAGGAAACTTTACTAGTATAGTAAGCAAGTTATCATGACTGATTACCATTTACCTTAAGGCTCTCCATGAAGACATCTTCCAAATATTTGTTATATAAATGATGGAAATGAAAGTACAAATTGTAACAACTGCCAAGTTTTCTTAATTTTAGTTTTATGACCGTTGAAGGAGACGTTTTTTTTTTATTTGAAAAGCTTAGACTAATCACATTCTTTGTTTTTTTTCCTGTACTGCTGTGTCGCCAGCAGCCATATTGAGATCTGTGACAAGGGCATATGTTAGTACAAGCTGCAAAAAAGAATTCCTGAATTTAGGGATTTTAGTGCAGGTAGACATCTATGGTACTTTTAATGAACCTATTTATGGTCTTAGCCTAGATAATTGGCTGAGGGACCAGCATTCAACGTTAATAATCAGGCATTGTCTCCCAGTCAGACCATGCAGATTTAGGCCTCTTGTCTGTTAATTATCCAGAATAAATCCCACTTTGATGAAGTTGTATGGTTTAAAGACATTTCTTTATTCTGATCTTAAAAGCCAATTCATGCAAGGTAGAAAGCAGTGGATAATTCAAACACACATATTTAAACTGTTTGTTAATGAGATTTCTTGCTCAGCAGCTATACATTTTATTTTGGTTGGATTAGATAACTGCGATGACTGTTATGGTATCTTAGTCCACAAACTATGATTAGATGAAAAATGTCTGGATTGGAAATTGTCACTTGGTAGCTTGTGCCACAGGGCTCTGTAGCTCACATAAGCTTGAACAATTACATACATGGTTACACCAATAGAAAAATGAATATAAAAATACATTGAAAGTTTCATATACAGAACCATAAACTCACAGTTAATCCGGAGGACGGCAAAAAAAAAACCTTATAAAGCATGGTCCAACTTGCTCCCAGGCACAGAGGACTGCGGTCTATGTCTCCAGCACTATTCACATGTAGATCTGCAGCACATTGTATATGGGCATCTGAAATGTGATCACCGTACATTCATGTAACCACAATGCACTACACACTGATCTCATACTCATAGATGGAGCTTACACAGGTCTAAGGATGGTTACCCCATGTGACAGAGGCCGGGCCTGGAGATTGGCTGCTCCGACACTACAGGTCACAAGACTTCCCATACCCAGAAGTGCCGTAGGATTTCCAATGACTGCAACTCCTTTAGTGTGCAAATCCAGAACTTGTCTGAAAACCAAAGCCAAAAAACACAATTCTATACATATGATATAATATGTACAGCAATCAAATCTCAAACACACACATTGGCCCCACTCCCCCATATACAGACACTGCTCTCTATACATTGCCCCATCCCCTTCAAAACACATATACACAGACATTGCCCAGCCCAGCTCACAAGGTTCAGCATTGCACTCACATCCTATCTTCTGCTGCAGCCACTCACACTGATAGTGGTCCAGAACTGCAGCCTGGTTTGTATCAGATCCACCATCTGCCTCTTGTCTGGAGTCCTCCCTCCTGGCATGGTCGGCTGTTTCCGGGGCCACGGCGTGCACAGCTGTCTTGTCCCTAGCTGGTGCAGCTACCTATGCCGTGGGTTTTGGTGTGGCACACGGGGTGATTAGGGTGTGCCCAGGCACACTTTCGCCTATGATCACCCCCGTTTCATGTGACTTACATGTTACAGTTTTAAAATGTTACAGACTGATTGCTGGGGAATGCTTCCTCCTGCCCACAAAACAGTGACAAAATCTTCTCATTTATATACTGGTGCTGTATATTGTGACATGTCAGGAATGTATTCTTGTAGGCTTGTAAAGTTGCAGAGAGGTCCACTTTAAAATCTGTTTTCTTCTTCATACAGGAACACATGATTCTGTGTAGATTTGCAGATCAGACAGAAGTCCAGCTTCCTCCAGAGCGGAGACTAATAGGTATGTGTATGCTATGTGGTATGTTTGCCAATATAGGGTTAATATTGGTGCTCCAGTTGTATAAATGTTAGGGGGCTACCAGGAACTTGTCATGTGACAGATTTCTAAAACAATACAGACTAATGATTTTAGGACAGTGGTGGAGCACTGGGGCCTGGACGCAGCTGCCACCCATGTGACCATGGTAGTTTTGCCACTGACTCCAAGCTGCAGAGGGACTACAAATCTCAGCAATACATTATACAGCACTGCAGAATACCATCACCTATAGAAGACTACAAATCCAAGTAATACATTATACAGCAATGCAGAATAATATGAAGCTACATACTCATGTCTTGCTCACCAGGGCTGTGCAGCATCTCAGGGGGCTGTGCGGGGTCTCACCAAGACTGCGCGCAATCTCACCAGGGCTGTGCGGACTGGTGCCGGTCTCACCAGGGCTGTGCGGGCAGTTGTCCTGGATGATGTCAGATCGCTGATGTTAGCACATATTATGGTAGCCTATTCGATGTAGGTGCCACAGTTGGCCCCTGTGTCTTGCAGATCAATGTTCCTCTCTTTATCCATGTAACACCACAAAATATATGAGGAGCATGGAGGTCACCAGCAGAAAGCCCAGACACCAATAGAGACCTCACAGAGGTTTCAGCCTTTCCCAGCTCTACTTAAATGTGTTTTGTTGCTTTTTTTTGTACCCATTGGAGAGATTTCTCACGTCTGGACCCTCTATTACCGTGACAGGAAGTGATGGAATATTTCCTCCTTTTAATGTGTATGCAATCATTTATATTGTATTATCTGTTGTCTGTAAAATTATTATTTGCTGCAATTTAAGTAGCAATATTGAAAATTACTGACAAGAGGAATTACTTTACAAGAGGGAGCTGTGTAATAAAAAGTTTTTATTTGTGTGTCTCAAAGGGAAACGATGCATGGGATTGGTGGACCTGGATCGAGCATGGGCTGCTGAACAGTGTGGCTACCAAGCCCAGGTTATCTCGATGGAGCCAGAAAGTTGTTCACCAAAGAATAATTTGATAGTGGGATCGCCAGTATGATATAGGGCCAGTTTGCAATTGACTCTACAGAGGAAGACTCTTTAGAACCATTAATTTAACCATCTTATTTTGTTTTTCAAAACCATTGAATGGTTGCAAGTGTAGTTGCAACATTACTTTCTGTGCTGGTTAATAAAATGACCCATACAGTATACGTTTATTTAATATCACTTGAATATGCAGTATCATTAGTATGATTTTAGGCTTGTGAAACTGCAGGTCAATAGACAGTTTTAGGTGTAGCTTTAGTTCTTATTCATAGATAATGTCTTTCTTTGTTTATATAAAAAAAAATTATACTTCTAATAAACAATGATCCAAAAATTTTAATTAGTTGTTGACGTATATTATGTAAATGAAGACAACATAAAAGGATTTGCAATCTTAAAGCCATTTTCACAGTTGCATTTAAATGTTTGCCTTTCATGTGTTTTACTTATGGATTGCATGGATTTTGTTTCCATTTTGAATGTATGTGGCCTCTGGCTGTATGAGATTTACATGCTGGGCCACTGAAAACAATTAGGTATAAGTTTTCTGAAAACCAGAAGGAAAAAGCTGTAGATTATATTTTGCTAAACCACAACGTACAGGAACACTTAGATGAAAACAGTACTTTATGATGCAGTGGTAAAGACTTTTCCTGGTTGTCTCTGTGTGGCTTGGTTTCTTTCCTAACCACAGGCAAACCTCAACAGTGGAAATGGGCCATAAGTGAGGGCACCACTAAATAATGGTTAGGTTTAGAGGCTAGAACTATAGAATTAAAAAAGCTGATTAACTCTGGTCCAATTTTTATTGTTTTAGTTTTCAATAGCAGAACTATTTCGATCTATAAAAATAACCTATTAGCATATTGTCTATAGCTGCGCAGCTGCTCAGATCAGCAGATATCCTTGACCAGTAATCAGAATTATCTGGGCAGAATAAAACATAACCCTTGCAGGGGGTCTACGTCCGCTTTGCGAGACATAACTGTTTGTTTTCATCTGATTTGCAAAAAAAATAAGTTTTATTTAGGGCTGTGTAAATGAAAGATTAATTTCTCAATTCATCTTTAAATTTATTGATCGATTAAAATTATTTTGATCGCTAATGAAAACACTCACCTCTCCGCCGGCTTCCGGGAGTCCCTTTGGCGATCCGGTGACGTCACGGACATAGACGTCACCAGACTCCTCCCCCTTCCCCAAGTGGCTCTGTCGGCTAACGAAGGGAAAGGGGGAAGAGTCCGTGACGTCGATGTCTGTGACGTCACCGGACTCCTCCCCCCTTCGTTAGCCGACGGAGCCACTTGGGCCGGTGAGTTTGCCCAAGAAACTTTCTGCACGAGCGCCAGCCAAGGCATTGGCCTATACACATACAGCACAGCAATGAAGTAATAAAATGAACTAGGATCACACTAATCCAGCACGTTATTATTCTGAGTTGCCCCACTCAAGCGGCGGCCATATTGAGTGGGGCACGTGAGATTAATAAAGTGGGTCTGTATGTGCGTTACAATTAATCGAAATTAAATCGATGAATCGATTTAAAAAATTTCAATTAATCAAACACGAAAATTTTAATCATTACCAGCCCTAGTTTTATTTAATTAAAATTAAATATACAAATGCAATGTTTCAGAGCCACATGAGGACCTCTTTATCTAGACAACAGTGCCCAATGCTGGAGCGATGCAGAAGTCCAAGTGATTATCCATATACAGTCTAAAATATTTTCTTTGTTACTTAAACCTTCACTGTACTAAGGTTGCTGTAATGATCACATTCTATGACATAAGAGTATTTGTCCAGTATGTAGTACCACCTTTTTTATTGGTACTGTATTGAGTTCCCAACAATCGATTCTGTCCACACTAAAATACTGGCTAAACTGTCACAGTAACCAAAACCAAATAAAAACAACGTTTAGTTTTATATCCTAGTTATACCCATGTTAGGCTTGCTTGCTTAGAGGCCGGGAGATACTGTAAACGCTTTATCTGGGTACAGATTTCGATATTACATGGGAGAGTCCAGTACAGGGGTTCAACCATCAGTAGTTTATAAAAAGAAATCTCTCTTTAATTCTGTTGATGTGTAAATGCAAGACCATTGCACCCTTAATTAAAGGCGTTGTCTTTACCTTATATGAACCTGTGGTATTTGCTGTTTCACTAGGATCTTACAGTATACATTAAGAAGCAATGATAGAATAGTATTTATCATTTCTGGCTTTTATTTCTGTGATATGAAGTAAGACGTGTTGGCCTGCACTCCCCCTGCCTTAGCACTGTATCTACACCCACACTCTATATCTTGTGACAAAGCCTTAAGTCAGGTTTTATGCACACTTTGTCAGCCAGCCAAACTGGATACCTATAAATCACGAATTATGATGTTATTCTTATGCGAACCATGGGAACACTTGCTTAAGGCACCCAGGTTTGATTATTAATACTTTAAAGTTAAAAATTAGACTTTATGTCTTCATAAATAAGAATGAACTACACTAATTTATGCAATTCTGCATAATTTCAACATATAGTAGTATTTTCTCTTGTTTAGGGTAGTGTTATTCTTGCCTAAAGCAAAGATATTGTTCAGAACAGAAGGAAAAAGGTCCGAAAGGTAAACGTTTGCCTCATGCATTTAACAAATGGCACTTCATTCCAAAGTATACTTTTCCCTTAACTACATTGTGGTCTTCATTCATTTAATTTTACACCTCCATTTCCAAATGATTGTGCTTATAATATGCAGGAACATTAAAGCTGAAATCCAAGACACAAATAAATGCAACTCTGTATTTAATACATCAATGACTGTATCTTTTGTACACCGAAGCAGTGTAAGTACCTGAATTTTGACTTGTTATCAGGCCCTTGCAATCTCCACAGAGGGGAAAGCTGCATAAGGATCAATTTACAACCCCAATTCCAAAAGAGTTAGGACGCTGTGTAAGATCTACCTAAAAACAGAATGCAACCCATTACTGATTCACAATAGAAAACTGAAAAAATTTACCATTTTAAGAAGAAAAAAAAGGCAATTTTGAAATTTTTGTTTCAGTGTTTGCTGATGATACCAAAATCGGGAGGGGAATTGTCACTGAATCAGATGCTATAACATTACAGGGGGATCTGGATAAAATAGGGGTGTGGGCAACTACATGGCAGATGAGGTTTAATGTAGATAAATGTAAAGTTGTGCACTTTGGGGTTAAAAACAAGAAAACGCCTCTGGCTCTCTTGCCTTTTTGTTCTGCGCCCCAGGGCGCTGGAATCGTTTAGCTCGATCTCCCTAATGTGTATTATCTTCATGCAGTTGATTTCTAAATGTTACTGATATGGTGATTATACTATGTGCCTTATACTAAACACTGTATTGTTGTTTTCAAGTCTTTTGATGAACAAATAGAAATCATTGATTAAAAAAACAAGAAAACGGATTACACACTAATGGGTGCTCCCCTCAGAAAGTTAGAAAGAGAAACAGACTTGGGGGTCATTGTAGACCACAGACTGAATAATAGCTTGCAGTGTCAGGCTGCGGTAAACAAGGCAAGTAGAGTCCTGTCCTGTATAAAGAGGGGAATGTTTTGTAGGTAGAAGTCCGTAATTGTGCCACTTTATAGATCACTGGTACGGCCTCATCTAGAGTACGTGGTCCAGTTTTGGGCACCAGTGAACAGAGGGGATGTCCTTGAACTGGAAAGAGTCCAGAGGAGGGCAACCAAATTTAAAAAGGGGATGGAGGACCTGAGCTATTAGAACAGGCTCCTAAAATTAAACATGTTCTCCTTGGAAGTAAAGAGATTAAGGAGGGACATGATTTTCATGTATAAAATGTTTACCGGGGATAGTAACATTAGCAACAAACTTTTTACAATTAACTCGATGATAAAGACGAGAGGCCACCACTTAAAATTGGTGGAGAAAAAATTTCAGCACAAGGGGCGTAGGGGTTTCTTCTCAGTTAGATCAGTCAAGGTCTGGAACTCGCTGCCACATACTGTGATTTCGTCTGAGAGTGTGGAATCGTTCAAGAGGCGATTGGACGATTTCCTCAGGGACCGTAATATACAGGGGTACAAGTACTCTTAAGATTGAGAACACACAGGGACCTATACATACTACACACCAATAGGATCATACACATACACAGATAGGTTGGACTTGATGGACATATGTCTTTATTCAACCTCAAATACTATGTAATTTTGTAAATTGATGGCCGCAACACGTCTCTAAATAGTTGGGACAGGGCAACATAAAGCTGGCAAAGTAAGTGGTACTAACAAGGAAGAGCTGGAAGAATATTTTGCAACTAATAAGAGTATTTGGCAACAGGTCAGTAACATGATTGGGTATAAAAAGAACATCTTAGAGAGTCAGAGTGTCTCAGAAGTAAAGATGGGCAGAGGATTACCAATCTGTGAAAAGCTGCATCTAAAAATTGTCGAACAATTTCAGAATAATGTTCTTCAATGTAATATTGCAAAGACTTTAAATACTCTACAGTAAAATCATCAAAATATTCTGAGAATCTGAATAAATCTTTGTGTGCAAGGGACAAAGAAACACAATATTGGATCCCCATGATCTGTGGCCCTCAGACGGCACTGTGATAAAAACATGCATGATTCTCTGATGGACCTCACTGCATGGGCTCAGGAATACTTCAGAAAATCACTGTCTGTGAACACAGTTCGCCGTGCCATCCAAAAATGCAAGTTAAAGCTCTATCATGCAAAGTGGTAAAGACTCAGGATCACTTATCCATTAGTCCGACTTGTCTTACCCACTTGAATTTTATGGGTGTTTTCATTAGTGTCAGCGTATGAATTCCCATGGTTTTCATGAACATGGTCACTTGAGATACTACACATCCCTGTGGTTTGATGAGGCAAAGCATTTTTGGGATACACAGTAGTGTGTATGCGTAAGAAAAAGACCCAACAATTGGGTTTTCATTAGGAATGCACTGATACTAGTATCGGTGCTCTGATGTCTAGCCCGATACTTCCTGTATAAGAACACGCTGCCCGTCT